CAGATGAATGTGTGGTTGGCGAGGACTACGTATCGGATCTGCGGAAGAGGATGGACGAGATACATGAGAAAGTTCGTCGCAACATATCTGGAGCAAGTGACAGGATGAAGGAGAGGTACGACGTGAAGGCCGAGAAAGGAGGGTTCACACCCATGTAGCACAGATGGTTGGGCCAACGTTGGTAAATTGTGGAGCCACACAGTTGGCCAACGGTAGAAATGTCACCTCTTTAAACTGTTTTCCAGCCAACCATTGTCCAACCGTTTTATTTCACACAAAATAATAAAGATTTAGTACAAAAAGCATAATTATTAGTTGAGTAAATTGATTAAATAGTTCATAAAAACAAATTTTGAAAAAAAACTAGAACAAAATTTTTTTGGCCCAGACGGGTCTTGAACCCGGGTCCTTCGACTTATGAGCCTCTTACTTTACCACTGAGCTATCTGTGATTGCTGATATAGAGAGTTTTCAAGTGGTGAAAGAGTAGCCGACAGTTGCAATGGTCGCAATACTTCAAACATTTTTGATACTACACAGTATAATATGATTCTGTTAATCTGTAAAGGCATCATAAGTAGTTTTTTTTTTTTTTTTTGAGTTAGAGAGGATACTGGTATTTGAATGATTAATTAATTACCGTTAGATTGTTAATGCTATTATAATTGCCTGTTATATGATTAATTACTCTTTCCCCTTAAATTGTTGCAAATAAGTTAAAGAATATTAAATTAAAAAATATTTGCATTATTAAAATTATTAAAATTCATTGTTGTAGCGCCGGAACTGTAATATATAAAATATCTGGTTTTACAATACCTATATCAGTTCCAAAAACTTTTGGAAACTTTTGGAAAGGTATTGTAAAACCAGATATTTTATTATAATTATGTTGTGAAAGCTAGACCCAGAGAATGAAAGTCGTGTAAACTCAACTATGGACCATTGTTGGTCCAACAAAAGTATCTTTTGTTGGTCCAACGGAGTGAAAAACGGTTGGACAACGGTTGGCTTGATGTATGATACCCAGCAATGCATATTAATGTATTTCATTAACAATGAACCAATGTTGGTCCACAGTTGTAAATATTGGTTGGCCCAACTACGAGATATACAGTTGGACAACGGTTGGTTGGTTGTGGAAGCTCCAACCAACCATCGACCAACTGTCCCACAGTTGGCCAACGTTGGCCCAACCATCTGTGCTACATGGGCACCTGGTGATCTCGTGTGGCTACATAATCCCCGAAGGCGTCGTGGTTATTCACCCAAACTCCAAAACTCATGGGAGGGACCCTATGAAGTTATTTCCCGTTTAAATGACGTCATCTACAGGATTAAAAAGCAACCAAATGGCAAACCCAAAATAGTCCATTTCAACAGGCTTGCACCCTACAAAGGAGATCACGGCCAACAAGATGAACAACAAGTTCGCAGCATCTCAACCGAAACAAGAGACGTCGTGCCCAAAAAACGTGGAAATGAGGAATTGAGGCTGTTATATAAGGACCTCTTCACCTTGCCAGTGGATTATGCTTTGGCCCACTGCGTAGCAGAAGACCTGAGAGCGTCGCGTGGTATAGCCACTGTCTTCAGGAAGAAGTTTGGAGGGACCGAAGATCTTGAGCGTCAGAGCCCAGCCATTGGCACAACCCTCCACCTGGAGCGCAATGGACAGCATTTGTTCTACCTCGTAACCAAGGAGACGTCAAGCCAGAAGCCCTCCTACGAATCGTTGAAGAGAAGCCTGCAAGACCTGCGAGACAAGCTCCTTCGGATCGGAATAAAAGAGCTTGCTATTCCCAGGCTGGGATGTGGTTATGACGGACTGGAATGGAGGATTGTAAGAAATATGGTGCAGGAACTTTTTGAGGACACTGGCATCGACATTGTGGTCTGCGTATACAACCCATGGGGAACCGGAGACATTATAGGTCCAGAAGATCCCAAACTTCGAGAGAAATCTGTTCTGGGGCAGAACAGTCTTAAGGAGGGGGCAGTGTTACAAGTCAGGAGCCCCGCGCAACAATAGCCAGGCGCCGTCACAAACGGGTTGTTTGTTTACACGGGTTTCTCAGAACGCACCACTGATAGACAATAGACCCATGTCAACGGACTACGTCAATAAGGGCTCCAGAACCTTCTACAATTCTACGCCGGTTTGTAAACAACGGATACTCGAACTCTCCACCTAGAATGTTCTACGGCAAGCTTATATAAGGGACCGTCTTCCGGCACACGGCAGTTGAGTTGAGTTGAGCCTTCCGAGAATCGTCGCAGCAAGCGCGTGTCGGTGTTAGTGACCAGTGCTAGTGCTAGTGGAGTGACAGTGTAGTGACAGTGAGAGTAACAGTGTAGTGACTCTAGTGACAGTGTAGTGACAGTATTGTAACAGAAGTGATAAATCCTGTAGAGGCTAGCTGTAAGTAGAATCATTGTAAATTAGAATAGGCTTTAGCTAGGTTTAGATAGGGTTAGCTAGGTGTTAGGTAATTTTAATATTTGTAAATATAGAATAATTAGTGTAAATAAAATAGTTATTATAAAATCGCCAAGTTTTATTTGTAAAGAACCTGCTAAGCCCGCAACAGTATACAGCCTACATTGCTAAGTTTAGCAGTCGTTTTTCTTCGACTAAAACATGGTTGAATTATGAGCCCCTCACAAATAGCTCTCCATTTCTCCATTCAATTTTCATACTATGGTAGTAATTTTAATTTACATAAGTATTATGGGAGGGCATTAATTGCACCCACTGACCTGAGATAGGTACTCGGGTATTCCTGAATTGCGCCCACTACTCCAGGGAGCCACCCAGTATGTTCATTAACTGCACCAAGTTGCGGCCCTCTTTGACTGTGTTATTGATTAGGTTAGGTTGTGGTTGGTTAGGTTAGATTAGGATAGGTTAGGATGACATGTAAACAGTACATCCCTTTTGCTGGCAACTCACCCCTACCTGGCTTGGACTTGGCCGCAACTAAGGAACATTTTTTGGGACCCTTTGAGGGCTAAGCGCAATTAAGGAAATCTTGGGGGCAATTAACGCACGACCAATATTATAGTTTTAATTTTTTACAGGATAACCATTCGGTGGTTCATTTCAACCTCATTTTTTATTCCAAAACTGATCACTCACACGGACGATATGTCTATGAACATAGGGCATGCATAGAAAATCTGTAGCATGGAATGATCTAACTGCAGAATTAGTTTGCCATTGTTCCTGCTCGTGGACACGGCAATTGTTGATTTCCCGTACATACCCATCAGACCAATAATATTTAATTTTATGTAGTATGTGCCGCGTGTATTGAATGTTTTCAGTGTGGAAATAATCAAGGAAGCTACTCAAGCGGTTTCAATGTATTTCCTGGACTAAGGTGTTTCTGGGAAATAGCATTCCACAACACTGTTAGTTGTTAGTTGACCATTCATAGCCTTGTGGGTCTAAGGTAAAAGTACTTTCAATTGCAAAAGTGTGAATAAGGCAAAACTTAATCTGAGCCTTAAATAGCCCTTCTACACCTCAGGTACTACTTTCCGTTACAATTTAACAGAACATTAAAAGAAATGTTGTATAAAATTATATAAAATTCTGAGCAGTTCAACTAATAATATATTTATTTGATTCCCAACGGAAAATTACAAATACATACAAGACATTACAAGAAGTGGTATGCAATGATACAATACAGAGTAGCATAACGATAGACATTATAAATAGCAATAAGGGATAACGATAATACAACAACACCAAAGATACAGCCATATAGCGAGAAATCATGCAAAAACCAGGTAATTAATGACCAATAATGAGTAATAAAATATTCATAACAATAATGCAATAATAGTGAAGGTTGACGACATGAAAGAACAGATCAAGAATGAGGTGAACAATTGAAAAAATGTTCCTTACAATTTTAAAAAGTCATAAGCTAGTTTATAAAAATAATCATTACAAACATCTTGATTTCAAAATGGTTGTCATTTAACTTTCATAATTAAAAAAAACTTGAAGAAATGGCGGATTCTCTAAAAAAAAATTTAAAAATCAAGCTCACATTTATTTCGCATTCAAAATTACTTTTTAAACAACGCCAAGGTAAAAAATCTATTAATCAAAATGTTGAAAAATCAAGATAATTTTGTACAGACCATAAAAAATAAGGCCAAGCAGTCAGGGTTTGCCTCATTTTGCGTAAAAAAATCGGGATTAATCATTGTGTTTATTGTGTTTATAAAGCAGTGAAAGTAAAATCAAAAGATACAAATGGTATGTTTCAAAACGCACTTTAAATATGTTCTAGAAACCTACCATAAATTGTTTTTAGCGGATCCATAACGAAAAACATTATGTATTATTACTCTGAGGTATTACCATCACTTTATATAGTGTATTGCATTCAAGATATATGCAAAAGTCTAATTCATGGTCACATGGCACCTAGAAACAAATCTTCATATAAATAGCAGAACGAAGCATATAACAGCTGGGTTAGTAAATTTTCTTCATAAGAGATACAGATACAGATACAGATACATAAGAGATACAGTACATACTTTGGGATTTTGATGGCCTGTGGAGCAAAGCCCGAGGATTTTTATGACGTGAATTGGTGAAAGGGGGCATCTACAAAAAAATACTTAATTTTGATACATCGTTTGTAAAAATCCGCCCATTATTAACGGAGGAGTACATGTATTTATTGCCTACTAGCCATCGGCCATAACAAACAATATAAACACTGTTATACTTTTCTCCCCTTTAGTTTCATTTACGACCATGTACTCCACTCAAATCATTCCAAAGAATATGATTTCTTAGCTACTTCTCCATGGCGCTCCCTTCCCCTAAGAATTAGCACACATTTACATAAAGTCAGATAGTCCTGCTATATACCTGTGATCGTTGGGAGGGGAGGGGGACAACAATGAGCTTCACTCGCACTTCTCACTCTTCTCACTTCTCAGTCAGTCTCAGTTCGTCTAAGGCCGCCGTTCAGGTCGGTCGTGTCGGTTTGTGTAGTGTTTGTGTTCGTGTGGCGAGATGTGTGTTAAGTGTTTGTGTTTGTGACAATTTGTGTCGGATGCACGACATAATGCTGCAAGTTCACGCCGAAGGAAAGTCTAAGGATCCCCAAGTTCAGGTAATTCTTAGCGATTGTTCAAAAGTTGTAGTTTTGAATTTTACTTCGTAGATTTCGTTGTGTGTTTGAAAACTTGGTAGGCCTATTCATAAAAATCCCATGGGGAAAATTTCTGAAAATATAGTTATTAAAAACGTATTTTTTTACTATTTGGTAACACATAGAACCAAGCAAAACAAAATAGTATTGTGCATCAAGGAAGGTAAGTCATAGTTTTTTATGACACCACTACAAATTAATAAACTATTTGAATCTATTATGTATAATTTATACGGATAAATCCACAAGCCAAACAATCATAAAGAAAAATAAATTTACAGCCGAATAAAGCCAACAGTCCATGAAAGTTGATATTTTGTTTTCTGAATAGATTTCTTAAAGTATAAAATAATGGTACATCTGTGAGTTAACTACTTTTTTGATTTAACCCTTTTTTTGTGATTTAAATCAATTTAAAACATTTTTTAGAAATTACCGTTATGATCATACTTTTATAAATGTCTTAAAACCCACTTTTGATTAATACAAGTGGCAACCCCCTGTGGGTGCCCATGCGCCAAGTAATGTGTTAGGGCGGAAAATATTACCTTGGATATTATAAACATGTAATTAAATTAAATCTAACTGTTAAGAAGTCTGTTAATAGAACCAAAGGCTGATCCCACTTTCCAAATTAACCATGGACTCTAAATGCTATTCAAAGGGAAAACTCAATTACAACGTTATGCTGAAAACTCTATGGCGATTGTTAAACAATTGTAAAGTTAACTAATTAAAATATCTCAAATACATACTAAAGTTAACTAGCCTATTCAATAACGAAATAGTACTAAAGCACTAAAATGTAATAAAAACCCACCAATCGTTTAGTTCTTCCACAGAGTAAATTTTCTTTAGTGGTTTTACCTACGGTAGTCAAGCTTATTTATTACACGCGTTAACCTTTTACTGCAAAACTGCGCAGTCTAATTGTTCACGCCTATATTTTCACTGCGGTCGTAACCACAAGCAATAAATTCTGTTTCACGTAATTGTTTAAGCTTTTTCCATATGTTAAGGTAGCTTATGGTGTAAGAACGAAACTCCTTGACATTCTAGCTTTCTTGCAGATTTGATATTTTTCGTCCAATGTAGATGTGACAATCATAATTTGTCTGGAATATTTGGAAATTTGAATACCAAAGTGATATTGTAGGAAATGTGTCAATAATAAAAGTACCTTATTGCTTATTCGTAATACATCTAACGTATTATCTTTTCAGTACCGGTATCCAATTGTCAATGGTATTATCTAATAACTAACGTAAACAATTTGAATTTTACACAATTTTACAAATATTTTCCATATCTCAACTGGTCCATAAGGTCCATAATCTATTGAATTTAGATAATGAAATATGACTCATCGCATATATAGTAAATCTGAGTCATCTTTCGATGAGTGTTTGTTGGTGATGTTTCAGTGCACATCGATTAAATATTTTGTGTACCGGTATGTTAAATTTTCTAATTTTTATCCTAGTAACATGGATGATAAGAACAGTTAGTTAAAAATATATTGTTTGATTCAGTTAAGGTTGTGCAAAGCTGGTTAAACAACAATGAACAACCAGTAAAAAACAAAACGTTCTCTTCATTAACCGGTAAAAAAACCTGAGAAAAGTGCCACCATTTAGTATGATAATCTATAAAGAGAGAAATCTGTTACTATAAAATAAGGAGAGAGATATTGTCTTTTCGATTTCACCCATTGTTCTTTGGTATTGCCACCACGTGAAACTGCCCAGTTATTATTGCTATTGGGTTTGTTGCCTTTGGCTAGTTGCTTTGACCGTGACCCAGTATTGGGTATGGTCAGCATAACATGCCAAAGCGGTTTCAACATTCAACACACACAGCAAATGGTGACAGTTTGCACCTCTAGATAATGTATAACTCTAAGCGATGATCATAGATCATACTTTACTCTTATACAGGGTGAATAAAAAGTCAAGACCCCCCCTCTAATATTTTTCCAAGTAAATATACAGAGATATCCTTTTGGTGGTCGTGCAATCTTAGCAGGAAGTTTCATTTTATGATTTTGAAATTTTTGAGTGTCCCAGTGTCTCCCCAAAAGGGGGGATTTGGTGGGTAACTAAAATTTTGTTAATAGAAACCCCCATCAAGTGACACTTCGTTTTGATGTGTTTACAAAAACTTAAAGAATGGTGAAAACCAGAGTTCGCTATCTCTTCTCTATTCAAAAGGGTAGCCAATATTACCATTACGAACCAACTTTACCATTGATTTTCGACAACATTTGACGGGCTACCATTTTGGATAGAGAAAAGATATCGACCTCTAGTTTTCACCATTCTTTAAGTTTTTGAAAACACTTCAAAATAAGTTGTCACTTAAAGGGGGTTACATTTATTATATTTGAGTTGCCCCCCAAATCTCCCATTTTGGGGGGAGACTCAAAAATTTCAAAATCATAAAATGAAACTTCCTGTTAAGATTGCACGACCACCAAAAGGATATCTCTGTATATTTACTTGGAAAAATATTAGAGGGGGGGGGGTCTTGACTTTTTATTCACCCTGTAGATTAAGAAAACAGATCAGATACATTAGCTTCAAATTGTACAATAGGATTTAAAAGTCTACTTTCAGTTTTCACAGTCAAAACAATATACTTTGTAATCTACTCATCTTAACCGATTCAAGCATAGCATATACATTTGGCACAACACAGGGTGTTTTGCTCTTCAAGTTGTGTTGCAAGTCGAGCACATTGCCAGACAAAACAAACAGTTGGCCTCAGTTTGATGACAGATATTGATTCAAGTGGTCCCCACCTGGCTCCTGGCACCACCAGGCTACATGCCACATGCGATATTGAACAGCTTCATGCATAAATTTCTTAACAGGGGAAGGTCGCAAAAGTTTAATATAGGCTAGTGACATAGATTGTTCACACACAACAGCAAAGCCTAAAAATTATTTCCAGTTTCATCGATGCAATTTATTTTTAAATAAAATTCTTATTAGAGTATCGAACCGGTTATACCATGGATAAAACATACTCCCTTGGTAGATTTCTCATCCTTATGGAACAGCTGAACCCAGTAAAGCTGGGTTTTCCTAGACGCGGAGTCGGCCAGCGGAGAGCGGACAACGGAGAGCGGAATTGAAATTAACATGGCATTCCGCTCCGCTGCTAGGAAAACAGTAACATTAAATTACCTAAGACAAGCTGAGTCCGCTCTCCGTTGTCCGCTCTCCGCTGGCCGACTCCGCGTCTAGGAAAACCCAGCTTTAGTATATTCTTTGTTCTGTCCGGCGCACTGTAGAGGTCGTGTTTTGTTTACAATTTGTTTCTTGATATTTCATTAATTCAAAACATAGTTTAACTAAATAAAATGATCTAATTATAAACAATAACTCGTCACCTAGTTATATAGCACAACAGTAAAGCACAAATCACAAAATTAACCCTAAAATAAAAAATAAAAAAATTTCGTCGACACTAGCGATCATTGACGCCGGACATGAACTAGACACAAAAACTAGCTTAAAATTTACACCGGGATGAGAAGAGAAGTCTATGGTTATAATACCAACCGTGGCTGGGAAAAGGTCAGACAAAACGAAAAACAATAACCATTGTAATGTGAAGAATCATCATATAAATCGTCTCGTTATCAAACTTATTCAAGGTTGTTTACATTGAAAGATCTGCAAAATAAACGAATAAAATAAAATAGAGAACGGATTTTGTAGTATCAAATATGTAAAGCCTGTATTAAATATGTTGTGTCCTTTATCCTTGACCGACAATGTCGGATAGATTGCGTCAAATTAACATTATACAGGGTGATTTGAAGTTGGTGTGACAAAATTTTTTCTGGTAAATTATGTAACAAGTCGAGTTCAAATCCACAGTTTTTATTGTTTTATCCCTCGTGGTCTCTTACCTATGATTTTTTTTTAAATTTTCAGAAAAAACTGTATTAGCAATAGAAAAACTTACATTTCTCCATTTTCCTCTCATCTGATGATAATTATAATGGTATTTTCTGAAAGCTCATCAAATTTACATTTAGTCAAGTCAGTTTTGTGTCGTTAGTAACAGTTTTGTAGCGAAAGTGGTGTTGTAAATACAAGAAATATGTTTTTCAAGAAAAAAACTAAATTTTTAAATAAATAACATGTATGTTATTTTTTTTTTAAAAAAGTGTCAAATACGTTAAAAAACTTGTCCTTTTCCTGAGCTTTAATTTGATATAAGCATATTGTATTTTCCTTGGGAAAATGACTATGAAAATTATACTACAAGTGCAAAAAACATGGATTAAAAAACTAGTGGGACGTAAAGAGACTAAATTATGTTTTATAAGAAAATCCTTCCAATGCCTCCTACATTTTAAATTTAAATTTTTATCACTAAATAAAAGAAATAAAAGTGAATTGGTACTTAAGTTACACCATTGGACAGTGTGCCTTTCAGTGTAACCCATAAAAGATAAGATAATCAAACTTATAGATAAAAAACATACCTCAATCGTTATCACAAAGGATAGTACACCTTATCTAATAGAAAACACAATTCTCGTACCTTATGCGGCCCAGTTATTAAGGATAAGAAGTTTATTATTGCAGTTCAATCATGGAGTTCACATCGCGTAAGTATGCTGAAATGCATTTTGTGTACGGTTTTTGTAATGGAAATGCTCGAGCCGCGCAACGAGAATACCGTGCCCGGTACCCTGACAGACTAGTGCCTAGTCCTCAAGTATTCTCAAGATTGCATCTGCGTCTTTTAGAACGAGGTACAGTCTTCAAACAGCCGAATGAGGTAGGTCCTGTAGGTCATAATGTGGAAACGGAGGAATTAGTTCTAAATATGGTCGAAGAAAATCCTAAAATTAGCTCTCGACAAGTGGCCAATGATGTAGGAGTTTCTCAATGCAAAGTTCTTAGCATATTACATAAAAATCAATTTCATCCGTACCATTT